TAGCAGTTGCAACACTGACGCCGTTGAAGCTGTTAAAGTGGGCATCAGCGAGGGGGGGCGCAGCGCCTCTTTAAATACCTAAGACATTGATTCCTACAAAAACGAAGGAACAAAATCACAAAATCCTGCATATTGTTTCAGAGGCCGCACTTTGAGGCCCCGTCTATGATAGAGGATCCGTGGATCTCAGTTTAGGAATCCCTGAGGAAGCACAAGGAGACTTGGGGAAGAGGCTTACAAATATTTAATGGGTGAGAGCAAAGAGGAAACACTTACAAATATAACTATGGAATCAATTGTTAAGATAAGGTTTAGCAGCAAATATGACACAGTTATTTCCACCATGCTTAATGACAGTATAATTTCCTAAAATTATCAACTCTCTTGCTGTTTGCTCATCCGTCTGTCTGACTTAGTCAACAACAATAACAATGGCAGGCACTGTTTAATGAGTACCTAACACGTGAAAGCTACCATGTTTGGCACTGGGGACACAAAGACAGACGAGTGCCCCGTTCTGTCCGCAGGTAGCTTACAGGCCGCTTGGGGGATATTTATGAGTAAACGAAATGAACAGCAGTGAAATAAGTGTTGGGAGAGAGGTGTGCAATAGGCGCTAAGAGAGAGATGGGGAAGAGCACCACACTGCACCTAAATTTTGGAATAAGGGGGTTAGGGAAAACTTGGAGGGGACAAATACGCTTTGTTCTGAAGGATTAATTAGATTTAGACTTGCAGCACTCCAATGTAACAAATAGCACAGCTGTCTGGACACCAAGCACTTCAGAAGGGCCTGAATGTAAAGTGGAAGAGATGGAGAAAGGCAGTGGGTGGAAATGAGACTGGACAGGTAAGCAGGGCTGGGACAGTCGTCCAAAATGCTCACGTGATTCCAAAGACAGGCACGTAACACTGTGTGATGAAGCCTGGTTCAACACAGCTTCATGGGGTTTAGGACAGGGATGAACGGGGGAACACAGACAATTAAAAGAAAAAACAAAAGGGATCCCCAGTGTGCAAGACGAACACAAACAGTCCAAGGATCATACAAGACATTTCAAGGAGTGTGGCCTTTATACCAAGGGTAGCGGAGGACCCTACAGCAGTCTTAAAAGAGGAGTACATAATCAGACTTTTATTTTATAAAATATAAATGTGGTGGCATTGCAGACACTGGATTAGAAGGGGACAAGAGGGGCCGGCCCCATGGCCGAGTGATTAAGTTCACACGCTCCACTTCGGTGGTCCAGGCTTTCGCTGGTTTGGATCCTGGGCACGAACCTAGCATTTCAAAATGAATTTCTATTGGTCTGCCAAAGCCTTTTAATCTTAAATCTAAAGTGAAGTCAAGCTGTGAACTGAACTCATCATCTCCTTCTCCTTATTTTTTTTTTCCAATTCGTTTTGAAATCTAGTATTCTAGACTTAAGATTTACCTCTTGGCAATCCGGAATTAAATTTCTGAGATTGCTGTAAATTACTTCCTCTCTTGGTTTCTCTTCCTCTTACTTACTTCCCTATTTTATTCTTTTTTTATTTTTCTGTAAGAAGAAGCCATTTGATTTATTTTAAAATTTTTATTTATTTACTTACTTATTTTATTGCAGAACATTGGATTATAACATTATATAGCTTTCAGATGTACATCATAATATATTTTGAATTCTATGTAGATTACATCATGTTCACCACCCAAAAACTAATTATAGTCCATCCCCTCACATGTGAGCCTAGTCACCCCTTTTGCCCTCCCCCCTCCCCCTATGGTAACCACCAATCCAATCTCCAATGCTATGTGTTTATTTGTCATTGTTTTTATCATCTACTTATGAGTGAGATCATACGGTATTTACTTTCTCCCTCTGACTTATTTCACTTCGCATAATACTCTCAAGGTCCATCCATGTTGTCACAAATGGCCGGATTTCATCAATTCTTATGGCTGAGTACTATTCCATTATGTGTATATACCACATCTTCTTTAGCCGTTTGTCCTTTGATGGGCACCTAGGTTGCTTCCAAGTCTTGGCTATAGTGAATAATGCTGAATGAACAGAGGGGGTGCAAGCATCTTTATGTCTTTGTGTTTTCAAGTTCTTTGGATAAATACCCAGCAGTGAAATAGCTGGATCATATGGTAGATCTATTCTTAATTTTCTGAGGATACGCCATACTGTTTTCCATAGTGGCTGCACCAGTTTGCACTCCCACCAGCAGTGAACTAGGGTGCCCTTCTCTCCACACCCTCTCCAACACTTGTTGTTTCCTGTCTTGTTAATTATAGCCATTCTGACTAGAGTGAGGTGATACCTCATTGTAGTTTTGATTTGCATTTCCCTGAGAGCTAATGATGTTGAGCATCTTTTCATATGCCTGGTGGCCAGCCATATATCTTCTTTGGAGAAATCTCTGTTCAGATCTTTTGCCCATTTTTTTAATTGGGCTGTTGTTTTCTTTGTTGTTGAGATGTATCAGTTCTTTGTACATTTTGGATATTAACCCCTTATCTGATATAGGGTTTGCAAATATCTTCTCCCAATTGTTAGGTTGTCTTTTCATCTTGTTGATGGTTTCCTTTACTGTGCAGAAGATTTTTAGTTTGATGTAGTCTCATTTATTCATTTTTTTTCTGTTGTTTCCCTTGCCCGGTCAGACATGGGACTTGAAAATATGCTGCTTAGACTGATGTCAAAGAGAGGACTGCCTAGGTTTTCTTCTAGAAGTTTCATGGTTTCGGGTCTTACATTCAAGTCTTTAATCCAATTTGAGTTGATTTTTGTGCATGGTGTAAGGGAATGGTCTACTTTCATTCTTTTGCATGTGGCTGTCCAGTTTTCCCAACACCATTTATTGAAGACTCTCCTTTCTCCATTGTATGTTCTTGGCTCTCTTGTTGAATATTAGCTGTCCATAAATGTGTGGGTTTATTCCTAGGCTCTCGATTCTGTTCCATTGATCTGTGTGTCTGTCTTTGTGCCAGTACCATGCTGTTTTGGTTATTATAGTTTTGTATTATACTTTGAAATCAGGGAGTGTGATACCTCCAGCTTTGTTCTTTTTTCTCGGGAATCCTTTAGCTGTTTGGGGTCTTTTGTTTTCCATGTAAATTTTAGGATTCTTTGTTCTATTTCTGTGAAAAATGTTGTTAGAACTTTGATAGGGATTGTGTTGAATCTGTAGATTGCTTTAGAAAGTGTAGACATTTTAACGATGTTAATTCTTCCAATCCAAGAGCACGGAATATCTTTCCATTTCTTTGTGTCTTCTTCAATTTCTTTCAACAATGTTTTATAGTTTTCTGTGTACAGATCTTTCACCTCTTTGGTTAGGTTTATTCCCAGGTATTTTACTCTTTTTGTTGCAATTGTAAATGGGATTGTATTTTTAATTTCTCTTTCTGCTACTTCATTGTTAGTGTATAGAAACGTAACTGATTTTAGTATGTTGATTTTGTATCCTGAGACTTATTGTATTCATTTATTATTTCTAAAAGTTTTTTAATGGATTCTTTAGTTTTCTCCATATAAAATCATGTCATCTGCAAATAGTGACAGTTTCACTTCTTCTTTTCCAATGTGGATCCCTTTTATTTCTTTTTCTTACCTGATTGCTCTAAGACTTCCAATACTATGTTAAATAAGAGTGGGGAAAGCGGGCATCCTTGTCAGGTTCCTGTTCTTAGATGAATAGCTTTCAGTTTTTCTCCAATGAGAATATTTGCTGTGGGTTTGTCATATATGGCCTTTATTATGTTGAGGTACTTTCCTTCTATTCTCATTCTATTCACAGTTTTTATCATAAATGGCTGTTGGATCTTGTCAAATGCTTTCTCTGCATCTATTGAGATGATCATGTGATTTTTATTCTTCATTTTGTTAATGTGGTGCATCACCTTGATAGATTTGCTGATGTTGAACCATCCCTGCATCCCTGGAATGAAACCCACTTGATCATGATGTATGATCTTTTTAATGTATTGTTGTATTTGATTTGCTAGTATTTTGTTGAGGATTTTTGCATCGATGTTCATTAGTGATATTGGCCTGTAATTTTCTTTTTTTGTGTTGTCCTTGTCCGGTTTTGGTATCCTATTTCATTCTTAATATTTTGTTGTTTTAGTTGTATGCTAAAATATCTCATCACAACTTAGCTTTTCCACCAGAAGAACTGTGGAACATCTGAATATCTGAAACTTGTCTCCTATCAGAATCTTCTAGATTTCTTTTTTTTCTCCCCAAATCCCCCCAGTACATAGCTGTATATTTTAGATGTAGGTCCTTGTAGTTGTGGCATGTGAGATGACCCTCAGCATGGCCTAACGAGCGGTGCCATGTCTGCGCCCAGGATCTGAACCGGCGAAACCTTGGGCCACTGGAGGCGGAGCAAGGGAACTTAAACACTTGGCCATGAGGCCAGCCCCTGAATCTTCCAGATTTCTAAAATTAACTAGTTACACTCAGAAATGTTGCAGAAATAAGTGTAATTCTCACATATAGCTACCTAGTAACTTTTTTCAGCAGAGACATTGAGCATTATAGTCAATTACCATTTCATTTTCTTTAAAGAAGCTTCTTTATTTCTTAAAGGGAATGTATGTCTTCATCATATAATTCAACTTTGCATAGCTATTTCATATTTAATTTTCAAATATGACTCAGAGGTACGTCACTTATAAAAACAGTAAAATACGGGCTGGCCCCCTGGCTCAGTGGTTAAGTCCCGGCTCTCCACTTCGGGTGGTTCAGATCCTGGGCGTGGACATGGCACCGCTCCTCTGGCCATGCTTAGGCGGCATCCCACATGCCACAACTAGAAAGACACAACTAAAAATACACAGCTATGTACCAGGGGCCTTTGGGGAGGAAAAGGAAAATAAAATCTTCAAAAAAAGCCCCCAAAACCAAAAAAACCCCAGTAAAATAAAAACAACAGAGAAGATCAGGGCTCTGAGAAGTAAAACAGTAGCAGGGCTGAGGCCAAAGAAATGCAGAACTCCCGTCTCAGAGCCATGTTCCCAAAGCGGACTGGCCTGCTGTGCAGGAGCGTGCTCTCTCTCTGCGCGCCCACCGGCCCCCGAGAGCCCCCGCATCGCGCTCCCTGCCACGCCGGGCTCCCTGCGCCTCGCTGGGCCACCCCGCACAGTCACCGCGCCTGGCCCAAAGCATCGGCTCCCAGGGGTTGCAAACCACGGCCGCCGCCAAAGATGCCGTTCTGCAGGCACAGGAACCCGACCCCGGAACCTCGCCCAGGCCGGGGACCCACGCCCCCGCGGCCCCCTCCCCTCCCCTCCCCCCCCCCCCTCCGCCCGCCTCGCCCCTCTGGCCCGCCTCGAGCCTCCCCTCCTCCCCTTCCTTCCCCTCCTCCCGCCCTTTCTTCCCACCCCTCCCCTCCCGTCCCCTCCCCCTCCCCTCTCCCTCCTCCCCTCCCCCTCCCTCCCCTCCCCCTCTTCCCCTCCCCCTCCCCTCTCTTTCCCTCCTCCCCTCCTCTCCTCTCCCCTCAGCCCCTCCGCTTCCCTCGCCCGCCCCTCTCCCGCCCCTTCCTCTCGCCTCGCCCCGCCCTCTCGCCCCGCCCCCTCCCTTCGCCTCGCCCCACCCTTCCCCATGCCCCGCCCCTCGCCCCGCCCTTCCCTGCCCCTCGCCCCGCCCCGCCCCTCGGGCGCTCCGTAGCCGTGACGTGCGCGGGCCCGGGGGCTCTGCGGGGCGCCGGCCGGCCGGCGGAGAAGGACCCGTCGTCGGTCCGAGCAGGAAGCGAGCCCAGCCTGGTCTCCGCCGCCCGCCTTGTGGGTCGTCGCCCTCTTCGCTCTCCCTCGCACCCTCCTGCCCGCCCTCCGGTCTCACCGGCCACAGGTAGCCCGCCGCCGCGCACCTGCCTTCGCGGCCGCCCGGTGAGTGCCGGAGCCCCGCGGCGGGCGTCGGCGCCGGGCCTCGTCCCGCGCGCCCTGCTCGGGCCGCTCGGCCGCCGGGACGCGCGGGCGGGGCGGCAGGTGAGCGGCGGCGCGGGGAGCGCTCCGTCGGCGCCGGTCGACGCCGGGTGCCCGTGTGCGTGCGCCGGCTCCGGGCGGAGCGGAGCCCCGGCGTCCGGCCGGGCTGTCCCTTCGCGGGCTGGCGGGGACCCAGTGCGGGAGCGGGCCGCTTGCTCCGGGGGGTCGGTCCGCTGCCGCCCTGGCAGTTGGGCCGGGTCCGGGACCGGGTCGGGGCTGTCTGAAGCTGCATTTGTACTCTAGCTGGTCGGAGTGTGCTGATTTATATACCTGCTCCTAACCAACAGCTTTTATATTTTTTAATTCCCAAAAACTCTTTAGAATTAAAATTAAAATGCTCAGACTCTAGGATTGTAACTTGGAAATAATTTGATATGGTTATTACGAGAACATCCATGTCAGAAATACTTGCATATAATTTCAGAAAGCATATTACATTTTATCTGGCGTAAAGGGTATGGTGAAGGAATGCTTAAATCCTAATCTACAGATAATAGGAACTAGGACTGCTCCAACTTTAGTAGAACTTAATAGACTGCTGTAGGTGCTAAATAAAAGTTTCATTCGCTGTTTTGCTTTGGTGGTGTAGGTGTATATCTGAATAAGTCAGAGCTTGAGAGTTTTAAAAATTAATATTCTTAAGACTTAGCTGATACTATTAACACCGTAAAATGTGAATCTTGAACTTGGGCTGATAGTGGTCAGGGTACAAAGGTTGGCTGCAAAATGGCGTTTCTGTACAAATTAACTAAACTTCACAGATGTCTTGGGTTGTGATTTTCCAACTGGAAAGAAATTGTTTAGTGAAGAAATTACTTTGGTGTCTTTTACCATTAATTTTAGAAACACCACAGATTGGACTATAGCCAGATCTTGAAACAATGCAACTGTTCAAAATAACTCATTGACTTTTAAATGTCCACCTCATTTGGAGTATTTTCAGTTGGGCAGGCGTTACATGCAGTGGTGAACAGAAGTCCTTTTAGTTGTAGGCAGATTTGCCCGTTGCGTTTGTATGTTCTGTGTGACATGCTATTGTTCTCCCAGCTTTTTGTTTTCAAAAACTGATTTTAAAAGGCAGTAACAGAAGTGATGAGCAACTTTAAGAAAAGATTATCGTGATTAAAAGCTAGAAATTTGTAATATGTAAAACTACATGTAATATACATATATTCTTTATTAGTGCCTAGAAACACGAGCAAAAAAATGTAATGAGCTATTGCAATATTTAATGTAAATTAATGCAAGATAATAAAAACAGAGATCATAAATCATAACCCGTGGAGCTTATCTGAAGTAGATTTTTTCCCTCTGTTTGTGTTTATGTGATCAAGTTTTAAAATAACAGTGGCCAGGAAATCTGAGAGAGGCTGAGGGCTCTTTTCTCATCCTGTTGTGACTTTGCCTGGAGACTGTGGTGTGTCGTGTAGCCCATTGTTTAGATAACTGGGCTGTCTCTAGGTTCTAAAATACAGCTTTCTTTAGAATGTTTAAAAATTTTGACCATGTGAGGTTTGAATAAATATGAGCACCCCAAACATTTTTCTAAAAAATTAACTAATTTTCACTGTCTGTTGATTATTGAAGTTCCATCTTTGATATGTAAAATGTCAGTTTTAAAAAGGTTTCTAACCTCTGTGAAATTTTCCTTTCTATATATTAAAACATCTTGAGTAAAAGATTGAAAAAAGTATTAAAGCTTTAATAAATCTCATACAGGTTAGTTGTGACCCCCCATAATGAGATACTTTGTAATAATTTGTGAGTTGGCCCTTTAGTAGTACAAGGTTGTCACCCATTGTTAGGCATCTACTGTAATCGGAACAGTAACTGAGGGACTTGATTGACAGACTATTATCAAAGCTGGTGGTCTTGTCTTTTTACACATAAGGAATTTTAGGCTCAGAGGATTACATATATGCTCAAGGTCGTGTAGCTCCAGAGGGACAAAGTCTGGATTCACACCCAAGTCTTTTGACCGGACGTGAAACCAGCCGTTCATTTAGTAGACTGTTCAGGTAAGCCTGCAGAACTGGTATTGTGTTAAAGAATGTAACTGGAGATTTGAAGAAGGTGCACAGGAGTGAGGATGAAATAGGCCATGAATGTGGTTCTGGAACTAATTTTGAATTCTGTGTCTATTTTCATTCTTAAGTTAACAGTCTTGAACGGTGATATGATGTTGCTTTATGATTTCTGGTGAAAATTCTAGAATATTATACATACTGTGCACTTTTTTATTTTGATAGCTTTATAGGAACTAAAATTAGGCTGTAACACTAGTTTTCATTGTAGCTAAAATGTTAGTATAGAATTTTAAAATTTCCCTCAAATGAGATAGGTTGTTGCCCATAAATTCACTAGCTGTCTTTCAAATATTACATAATTAATGCCGAAATCCTAGCAGGGGGGAAGTCGTTTTTAGATTCTGATTAAATTGTCATTTGTACTTTTAGGGCAATTTTTTTTTATGGCCTATGTTTATTTCAGGAATGTCCCTTGAGCTGTAATAGATATAAGCGACAAAATGAGCACACAAAGTCCATCTTTTGTAACAAACTAGGAGTCATTTCAGCAGTAGAGTGTAGTTGGGGTAAAGGAGCAGGAGGATAGGAAGGCTGAGTTGGGTGACTGCTTTTACAGGTGTTTCGTTATTTGGTGTGAAATATTAGGAATTTTGCACCTCAAGGATACTCAGGGGCCAGCGGTGTGGCCGAGTGGTTAAGTTCTCGAGCTCCATTTCTGCATCCCAGGGTTTCGCTGGTTCGGATCCTGGGTGTGGACCTAGCACCACTCATCAAGCCATGCTGAGGCTCCATCTCACATGCCACGACTAGAAGAACCTACAACTAGAATGTACAACTACGTACTCGGGGGCTTTGGGAAGAAGAAGGAAAAAAAAATGGGGCTGGCCCGGTGGTGCAGTGTTTAAGTGTGCATGTTCCACTTCAGCAGCCCAGGGTTCCCTGGTTTGGATCCCGGGTGCGGACATGGCACTGCTTGGCACGCCATGCTGTGGTAGGCGTCGCACATATAAAGAAGAGGAAGATGGGCATGGTCGTTAGCTCAGGGCTGGTCTTCCTCAGCAAAAAGAGGAGGATTGGTGGCAGATGTTAGCTCAGGGCTAATCTTCCCCCCCACCCCCCAAAAAAGGATACTCATATTCAACTGTAAATACAAAACCATCATCCAAGGGCTTAATGTAAATTATTAATGGATGATCTGTAACACGTCTGCTTTTGTGTGTATGTGTAGATAATCAAGAACTAACTAAAGTTAAATAAGCTTACATTGTAATTTTGAGGCATTATATAATGTTCAGAGGAACAAGGATGTTTTGCATTTAAAGCAGTTATACTTTTCTATGACATTTAGTGTACTGTTAATAATCTTAAAATATAAGTATTGGAATATCTTTTTATTTACAGTTTTCAAAAATAAACTTTTTTTGTTATTGAGTAGTATAAGAATGACATAATGGTTTGAGAAATGGCCAGAAGTCGCCCAGCAGTTCTCCCTGTGAGTACTGAAGCATAGGAAAGAAAACTGGAGGAACAACTCTGGCATCTTTAGAAGTCTTGCTAGTGCTGAAGAGAGGGGAAGTCCTTTTCTGTGCAGAAAGACTGTCTCTGGTGAAACCAGATACTCAAGCACATTCCTTGGGTGATATTCACAGAGGTGAATATTCCCGTCCGCCTGAGTAATGTGCACAAAGGCAGGCGGTGCTCCTGGCAAGGCCACAGGCATCTTTAATGAATGTGGCGTCACTTGTTTTTTTTGTTTGAAAGTAATCTGCTGTTTGACCTTTACAAGTAATGGATTGCATACAGCCGAATTTTAAAATTTCCGTGATATGTGGATGGGCATCTTTTTCAGTAGTATTTACTGAGGGCCTCCTGTGTTTGAAATATGACCAAGGTGGGAAGTGCTTCTTCCCTGTTCTGGCAGATCTTTGGATCTAGGAAATAGGAAGAGTGACCGAGATGTAAAGAGAAAGATAAATTGAAACATCCATTTAAAATCTGAAGATGTTTATGTCAAAAGTTAACACCTTGCATTTGTATGGCGATTGTTTTGGAAATCATTTTATGTACATTTGGTCCTTAAAAATACTTGATGAAGTAGATGTGATACTTATTCCTATTCCGCAGATGAGAAAATGGAGACCAAAAAATTAAGTATCTTGTTCAAGGTCACCTATGTGGCTTCTTAGAAGCAGAGTTGAGAACAGAACTTCTACTGTATTCCTGCAGTAGGCCCGCCCCCCCACTTCTCTCTCTCTTAGACGTTAGGGTAAACCTCTTAGCCGTGACTTATTTCATTTTATGGCTTTAATTCAGATGGTTAAGGAAGTTCTGAAAAGTCAGGGTCACTAAAGTGATAATTGTTAAATAGCTACAAGTTTTTTTTTTAACATAAGGTAGAAGATGAGCATGATATTATTATGGAACTTGAAGATATTTAATAGATTAATGGAACTGAGGTTGGTAATTAACTTTTCTAGTTGGAGAGTTTTTAAAGAAAAGCCAACAATTAGTTAAAAAAGAAAGGAGAAAAATATTCTGGGGGACTTCTGAAAGTAACTTGTAGTACTTGACACATTGGTGTTGGTCTGATGATTGTCCCTGTTTTGTGGAGGCTCGCCAATGAGCTGAGTTGTGTCTGTGCTGACACCTTTATGCCTCCATTCCTTTAACAATTACTGAGTGTCTGCCATGGGCTAGGCACAGGTCTAGGTGCTGATGATTCAGTGATAAATGAAGACCAAGTCTCTGTACTGATATTTTATTGTTGTTTTGAATTAAGTTAATTATAGACTCCTCATACTAGTATGTAATCAACAGGGCTGACCCTAAAGTTGGGAAATAATTGTCAAAGCGGCAATTTGAGGGCCACTAAAAGACTCATTTGCTGCAAACTGTTCTACCCCTGGCCTTCAGTCCACTGATGTACAGCACCGTTAACCAGTCTGCTCCTGATAAATAAGAGGATGTTCCATCTTTATCACAGTCTCAGGAAGCACGGCTGAGAGAAAATGAGTAGGACCTGGGACTGGTGTGTTGAATTTTGTAAGAGAGGTGGTTGGCAAAGTATAATTTTAGTATCAGTTATTGTTTATTGAGCTCTTGCCCTGTGTCAGGTACTATGTCAAGTGAGTACTTTACATCAGCTCAGTTAACCGCGAGGTCCCTTTGGTGCACTTGATATTATGACCTACCTTTCACAGATTAG